TCAGCAAAATTTTAGAGAGTTTAATTATCATGCTACATCACATATGCACAGTAGAGGTCCATTACTGGGTAGCTAGCTTTACTCCTGTACAGCCCACCTCTCTGTTCAAATGTGGGTGTTTTTCTCTCTACATATACTTTTAATAGGTTTTTCCTTCTATGTACCTTCATGTGATGGAATAAATGATTACCCAGATTAACATTTGATTAGTTGGGGATGTTGGAAGAGTCAGTGTTACCACAAAGAACTTGTTAAGCCTCTATAAAATCTGTATTTTAAGAGCAGGCCACTGAAAGTTTACCTCCATGAAGGCAAGGGGAAGGTGAGGAGTCTGAGGTGAAATGAGGATAGGGGATCTCATTCTAGATGGATATACATTTTCCTGCATGATAAATCCCATACGTTGCTGTGGTGCATATCTTGAAAAGCTAGTCATTTTGAAGTACTTTCAGGCATACAGGCACATTCAATGTGATGCATAGGGATTTGGGAAGCCAAATTTCTCACCCATGATCTGATTAAGCCCTGACTGTAGTTTACAGGTGCAGAACTAAGGACTTCGAAGCCAAATCTGACCCCTCTCCAAGATACCTCACTCACTTTCCTGGCCCCATCTCCTTTACTTCAAATATGAATGATTTGGTGGTTTCCTGCTTTTTGCATAGTCCCCCTGCCTTCCAAGATACTTAGTTCCTCTCCTGATAGTTACAGGAAGTAACATCCTGAAATCTAGAACTACAAGCTATTAATATTATTTAATATAGGAATTAATGTTAAATCATGGAAATTTATTCTTGAAAATAAGTCCCATCTCATGGAAAATAAAGATATATTAATTGCAACTTATCATGTGATATCTGATATCTAGTAAGAGAGCCAACATGCCTCCAAATACTAGCTGCTGAAGAACAGCAACAGAAAAGCCTATTATCCTCATTTTCTAGTTGCGGGCTTCCCACTGGCTGCCCAATTTGGTAATGGAATGCTGCACAGATAGGCCTTTGGTCAAATCAGCAGGGCTCTTCTTAAGTTCTTCGACTTTAACAAAGACAAAAATATCATTAATACTCTTTTGGCTTTTCCATATTAACATTCAAAACATTGTAAATAGACAATGTTCTTGTTCTGAACTGACAAAAAGAGCATTAAATAAAGATAGTACCAGGGAAGGAACAACACGTCAAAGAAAACAATCTGACAAAAGTCTTTGAACATCTGAGGGGAGGAAAGACTTCTGTGTTGTATGGTATTAGCAAGAGAATGCATGGCAGCATTTCATTATTTCACTTATTGTCATTGTTTTTTGTGGAAAATTGGATTCTGTGCACTGTTAAAACTTTCTTAATGGAGAATGTAGTAACTTCCTAGCATTGGCAACTACACCATACAGTGATTCATAAGTAAAATATCTGCTGCTAAGCAACTTGACTTTTCTTTCCTGGTTTTCATTTAAATGTTAATAGTGCCCCCCACAATGACTTAGATTTTAAGCATCAGCTTTTTCAAATTGCTCATAGAAAGTGCCTTGACCCAATTGCTGGGGTCCCCTCACCACAGCATCCTCCTCCAAACCTTTGTGTATCATTTCAGGGGGCTGGAAGACCTTGAATAAGGGAGAAAGGATGTTTAAATCCCAAGTCACCATCTTTACTGAAATGGTTTATGAAGATAGGCAGGTTTCCTACCTGTAACTGTTGTTCTTCAAGTGGTCATCTGTGCATTCACACATATGGGCTCCGCATGCATGTGTGGAGCTAATTCAGGAAGATCCAAAGTTGATTACTTATTATTTGGTGGGATCCCAGCCCTTGGGCACACCCAGCATGCAAAGGACTCCCACTGAGATCTCAGTTTGAATAATACGACCTCTTTCAAAAGATGTCACCTTTTCTAAGAGGTCAGGAGACTTCTCCAAATCCATGTCAAGATGCAGCACTAGCGGGGATGGCAGGAGGGTATGTGTGAATGCACAGATGACCACTCAAAGAATGGCAGTTACAGATAGGAAACCTGTATTTATTCTTTGTGGTCTCTGTGCTTCACGCATATGGGCAACTGGCAAGCTTACCTCTTGGAGAAGGGTGGTGTCACTCAATGAAATAGAGAAAAGAGGATGGCTCTACTGGATGCACAGTCCGTTCTGACTTGAACATCAGGGTGATAATGGGGGACAAAGGCTGATGGATTTGACCAGGTTGCAGCTCTGTAGAGATCAGTGAGGGACACTTCAGTGTGCAAGACTGTGGAGGCTGCTGTCACTGGTGGAATGAGCTTGGCTTAGGCCCAGTAATTGGAGGCTGGAATGTAGGGTTGGGGAGGTGGGGTCTGATTCAGTCCCATGTGGTGGGTGGTATTCCTCCCCATTTGTATGGAGTCCATGCAGTTGTCTGATGCTTCATGGAACAGGCCATTGCTGTTTAAGGACATGTCCTCAATCCTTGCTTTTGCTACCATAGAGACGCCAGGTGAAATGATGGACACCTATCGCTCCTGCAGCTTTCCTGGCACCGCCCTCTGCCTGAGGTCTGGCAGTATGAATTTCTTGTCTTGCCAGGTGAATAGCTTCATTCTTGTTTTCATTAGCAAGGCTTTGGGAGTCTTTAGGAAGGTATGAGCATAGTGAGACCATTCTGTCCTTAGCATGAGGTGAAATCTGGCCCTGGAGACCTGGTAATTTGACACTTTAATGGAAAGTGCAGCAGATGAATAAAATTGGAAGCTGATTGTGCCAAGGTGTCTGAGGTGGAATGTTCTCTCTTGGACAGACCTTGAGAGGACTCCATAATGGTAGAGTTGGGGTGCAGGTGTTGAAACAGGAACTCTGTGTCCCTCTCTAGTTTTCAGTAACTTTTTGAGTCATCAAGATGGTTGTGCTATTAATGCCAGAGATTTTCCACTCATGAGGTACAGCATCAGGCAGGGGCAGCCTGGAGTGGTATGATGGCAGGACCAGTTGTTTCTGCATAGACCACCACAGGTCTTTTGCACTGCCAGGGTCCTATAAGGACATGAGCCCTAAACTGTGTGTTATATGAAGGATGTGGCTAGAAAAATTTCCAGTGTCCTCAGTGGCACATGGAAGATCACGTGTGGGTACAGGTGGGTTGGTAGGCAGAATGGAGCACCAGTCCGGAGAGGGTGGTTCCAAATGTGAAGTGTAAGGCCCAAGACTGCTTTCATCAATTTAGCAAAAGTTGGTGCTTCGGTGACATGGTGTGCATTGTCTGGTGTGAGATGGTGGGGAGCACTGTGTTGCCATCTCCCTGGCACCTTGAAATGGTCCTGAGATTGTACAGCAAGGATAGGATTAGTATGGGTAGAAAACTAATTGATTTGACTGGGCTTGTGATGCCTTTCCTGCATGGAATTGACAGACCGCAGAGTTCTCTGTAAAGATCAGTGTTGAATTTGTGCTAGGATGGAAGAGTCAGCCATCAGGATCTATGGTACCTATTGAAAATCAGGAAATGTATTTTGTATCTCCGTCTATCAGATTCGGTGCAAAGGTGCACACTCAGTATTGATGAGGATGGTGAGTTGGTTCTCAGTCCTGGGAAGGTATCAGTTTGCTGGTATACCAGAGACAAGTTTGTAGATCTTCCCTTCTGAGAACGAAGTGCTCAGAGCTGGTGACAGTGGCTGAATTGATGGTTCCTGTGCCGGTCTCAATACTGGAGAGAAATGCTGCTGCGGCTCTTGTTTGGGTACTGTGTCTTAGGTATAAGGGAGGTCACTGGGAGGGGGCATATTGCAGTGCTTTTTGGTGCGCTTGCTGCCATCTTGCCCTTTTGCATGGCTGGACACTTTGGGAGCCTTATTTTGCTGGTTTGATTTTTTTTAGCTTCTCCAGGTTTAGATCTTTTCTCTGGGGGACATCAGAATGTTTCACTGCAGTTGTGGAGGTTACTCCTCCTGCAGTGGATGGTTGAAGGGAGCTACCTGCATGCAGGGCACAGCTCCACAGTTCAGCCTTTAGGCAGTTGGCCAGATGTTTTATCGCCTGTAGTAACAGACATCAATGATGAGAGTCTCTCTCAGACAAAAAAGCATAGGCCTATTAGCAGATGGTGGCTTGCTTCCACAATCTGTACAACTATGATTGACAGACCTTGACTGCCATTTTTTTGAACAGGGGATGATAGAAGGGCTGGTAAAAGTGAGGGAAAAGGCAGAAAGGCATTTTTTAAAGAAAGGAGGATAAAACAAAGTGGAAAAACCTGGAAGATGACAGAAATAGGCAACGTTTGTGAGGTATGTAGTAGAGGAAGAACGTCCCAATATTCTCATGATGGCACTTGGAGGAGGTCCTGTGCAAGGAGGTCTCAGTGGGAACCTCTCCTTGCACAGTAGGCATGCCCAGGGGCCAGGCAAATAGCAGTTAATCAACTTTGGAATCCTGTGATGCACAGAGACCATGAAAAATAACCAGGCTTATTAGAAAGTGTGGTGAGCCTTTCCTAAAGGAGTGAGGCAGTTACTAGAGGAGACAAACTCATTGATTAATTCACAAAATACTGTGTTTGCTTTGAAAGATATAAAAAGATGGCTACTTTATACTGTATCTTTTCTCTATCCCCGCATTTTATTTCCCTATTGGGTGCATTATGGTATTTTGAGAATGTTGCTTTGTATAAACAACTTGTACTTAAGAAAACAGTGGAATGCCAGCTGTCATCATGCCAGCTTCTTTTGTATTTTTTTGTGCACGTATGTGAATATAGCAGAGCTGGGATGGGGGAACAGTCAATCTCTGTTTTTTAACCTTTTTGCTTCCTTAGTCATGCATCCTGAATCTTTTTGTTGGTATTGCTATTCATGATAAAGATCAAGACAGAAAACTGACTTGGCTGTAGCTGGAAGATAAGGCCCTTCTTTTAATTTGGACATAACTTTGGACATAAAGTTGGCTAGACAGAAGTTCTCAGCTGAAACATAGCATCTAAGCTGTAGCAAGGGAGCGAAGCATGGAGACAGAAAAATGAAGTCTTCAGTCAAAGTTATACAATTAACCATTTTTTCATTAATGTTTTTATTCAGTTGGCTTAAATATGGAATGCTTCTTTTGGCTCAAGTGTGGAAAGTTTGAAAAGTTTATACGTACAAAATAAAACATTTACATTCTAAATTCTCTGTATTATGGATTTGTCCACAACAGCACTTAAATTTGCCTGGGAAGCTGAAGAGGAAGAAAGATAGAGCCAGAGATGTGAGAGATGTGAAAGAGATTTGGTTACAACTGAGCCTATGCATATTTTCTTGGAAATAAATCTCAGTACCCTATGCAATTTTACATAGGATCATGTTTTTCACCTGCACTCTGGAATAAAAAAGGAGAAACACCTGCTGCTTCCTTAATTGCAGTTAGGCTATCTTTTGCAAAGTTCTTTGTTGCTTTGCTACAGTAGTAGCTGTCTTCTTTGTCAAGATAGGTAGCTTCTACAGCTGGGAGTGGGAAATGCTTAGCTTAACTTCTTTTTCCTCATAGAAAACATGCAAAGTAGGCAAAGATTATAATTCATTCTGCAAAATAGGTGGATTAAGAAATAGGTGTACAGAAGCATATCAACTAAGGTCTAAATGTTCTTTTCATAGACTTCAAATTTGTACCGAATGCCATTCTCTTCCTGGATATCAACAGGGACACCGTCATAGCTATAGAAAGATAATAAATTACATTTAATTTAATAACATTAAATACATAATGATAAACTAGAAAGAACATGAAGAAGTTATTTTGTCTTGCCCATACATTCAGTCACACCTTGCTTGTACACCTAAATCCCCCATGCTTGTACGCCTAAATCTGTAAACTTTTGTTATCCCAATAATAGTAATCAAGAATTGTTCATGCTATACTTACGTAGGTAGAAGTTTGTATTTTTCAAGATCAATTTCTGGAAAGAATGTATCACTTTCAAAATCATGGAAGATTCTTGTTAAAAACAGTCGTTGAAAAACAGGTTTGTCCATTGCTGCCTTTAAGAAAGCAAGTCAAACTGGATGAATATCTGTTCTCTTAATTGTCCACCACTGACAAAGATGCTGGTATACTGAAAATTAACATAGATTTTGATTGACAGTTTTAATGTTTTATCAGTGATTTCCAGGCAAAGGACTTCAGAAACATTGCAAGCCAAATAGGTTCTTGAAAGCCAAAGTGAGCACACAGAGGGAAGGTTTGCACAATACGCTTAAGGTATACGAGTGCATAAGCCATGGAGCAACCACATTGCATCCCACTAGACAAATAGGCTCACTGTGGGTTGTTCTACTTGCCCCTTGGTTCTCCAACTCGTATCCCAGTGATCTTTGCAGCAGGCCGCATTTGCTGTCGCCTCCCTGTTTCCCTTTGGTTCACCACCAGGTTTCAATGTTTTTTCAGAGCCTAAGCAATCAATTTTTCCCCAGACTGACAAAATGGGTTGCCATGTCATGTGAACTTGATAAGATTCTCAAAGTGTAAGAATCTCTGTGAGCACAAGAACTGCCTGGCTGAAATATAAGGTGAATCTGATCCAGTAATAGCTACCTTGATGCCTCTGAAAGCTTACAACATGGGACTAGTCCTGTTGTACATATCCAGACCACTTAATGCAAAGATTTTTCATGTATATAGAATGCATTTTTCATGATTTACTGATATGTCTCTATAAACTGATGGCACTTCAACATATGTTTGTACAGGGAGAGAAAATGTCAATGGAAGGAGGTTTTTGTTTTTGCTTTTTTGATGGGGAAGGGAAAATAAGGTTATTTAAGAAGCATAGAATATATTTGCAAGTGGAAAGCATGTTAGGCTGGAATGTGTTTCAAAAATTGTCAATGTGACACACTAACCAGAAGCAGTCTATTTTCTGGCCATGTGCATTCTGATCACTGAAACTTTTTCGTTTATGAACACATAAAAAGAACCAGAAGTGCTTATGAAAACACCATGACCATTAACAGCTGTTAACAACAGTTGGTTACCAATATACAGACTTAAAAATCTATTCCACATTTTTCTCCCACTTTTATTCTTCTAAAGATGATTCACCTAACATTGTTTTCCTAACTACTGCTTTGACAAATGTCTGTTCATGCAAATGTAATCCAATCATTTAAGTCAGCACTTGCTGGGAAAATGCATTTCTAAAGAAACTGCTACAATTGTGAATGCCTTAAGGTAAAAAGACAAAATATTCAGTGAGCTAGACTTCTTCCAGTGTTTACTGGCCAGTTTCTATTTAAGAGGTCCTTTGCATGTCATGCTAAGCCACCTTGCAAATAAATTATGCAGACTGGGTTGTTCATATGGCTCTTTTGACAGATGATTAGGTTCTTACTGTGGCTTATTCTCTCCATTCCCTCTCTTCATCCTCCAGCTGATATCCTAGTGTCCTTCAAGGTAGAACCCATCTTATCTTTTCCTCTCTTTAATCACTACCCCTCTTTCATTCTACTTTTTTCCTGGAACTCCAAAAAGGCACAGGTGGGGTCATGTACATTTTTTCTTTTTTCTGGCCACAGAAAATTGCACACTTGTGCCCATCATTTCATTATTATTGCCTTGTTGGTGAAGTGCGCTCTTAGGGCTGATATGTGTAGAATTGGCTGGTCAATTTCTTGTACATTTCTGCCGACAAAGCAAACAATGGAAATCCAGTAGGTAATACATATGGAAATTGAGAAGGTGTACTGTATATAGGATAATTTATGCCCACTTATGAGGAATCAATTGCCCAACCGTCCGTTGAAAAGTACCAGAAAAGGGGACTAAATCTGCAAAAGTAGGTACATCAAAAGTGGAGAGGGGAGGAGGCAGTATCTTTGATTTGCAATGCAATTCTCTTGATTTTAAGTTGAACTGACTCTTCACCTTTTCAACACTTTCTTAAATCACCAGTCATTCCCAAAATGAGAGATAGTTAACCCCCTGCCTCTTGTGGCTCGTTTTTAGTGTACTTAGTGTGGTGTGGTTCCCCTATTTCAACCTATATTTCTAAACAAATGCAGAAATCTATGCTATACATTTAAATGTAATATTGAAAGAAAAATTGCTGCCAGTTGGTACATTTATGCACCTACACTAACTGTACACTAACTGATCCTTATAGGTGCACTAATTTCCTATTTACTTCCTAGTCATTCAATTTTAATTTCTTCCAGTACACGCCCCCCCAATATTTCCAACAGTTATTTTAAAAGCCCTTACAGGAAACAGCAGTACTTACATTCCTACTAGTGAACAGTTCATGCCTTCCTGTTCTCAGGGTAATGTGCAAACTAAGATTGCTGGTTTGTTTGGCAGCTAAACAGCCCAGTGATCCAGGTTTATACATCATGCCACACCACTTATGCAGTAATTATAGGTTCTGCTTTAAGCAGAAGATGCAGGTGTGCTTCTAGCAATATCTTCATGCATCCCTGACAATCAATTAGTTTTTAAACCAATGAATTGTTGTGACATGTGAATAGCTCCATAGAACTCTGTGCTTCTCTCAGCAAGGGAAGATGCAAAACTGAATGAAAGGCAGATGACTGTAGTAGGAATGGCTATAGCCAATATGTCTTGGTGTGGGCAATCTGGCCTCCAACGTAGAACTGTTACTCCTGCTACACATGTTTACCTGGGAGATAGTTCCATTGGACTCCATGGGCCATACTTCCCCAATACACATGCCCAGGATTGCACCAAAGCTGCAATCCTATGCATGGAAGTCTCAGTTCATTGTGGCTTACTTCTGAGTAGATATGCATGCTGTAACCGACTATAGGGACGTAAGCAAGCTGAAGAGTCTTTCTAGCCAGGCCATCTATTATGACCTTTCCATACAAATTGATGCTATTTATTTATTTTATTATATAACATTATTAGTTTTACTAACACATCTTAAGCATTGGCTTCAGTTTATTAGCCTTTTACTTTTACACCACAGCTTTGCCTGCTAAGATTGTATAAATTCAGGACATAGATACGAGTATAGCACCTATTTGTTTCCCAGAAGCATTATTACATGATAACAAAATCAAATCACGCAGCATTGAAGTCTGGCTAAAAACAACTGATGAAACAAGTTGAAGTAGTTATACCAACTGCTAGGCTGACAATATTTTTTTCAAAAGGATTGTACCTGACATTGGACATAGCTGAGAACTCTCAGAGGTATGTTTTTTCTCTAGGTATTCTATTTACAGAGAGAAACTACAATGCAATAAAATGCAGTATTCTATTTACAGAGGAAAAAATACAATGCAATAAAATACAAAATTACAGTAATTTTTTTCCACCTCTGGATTTGCCCTTCTGATGGTTGCTTTCCATGCAAACTTTTTATACTTTTTATTAAAATAAGTTATAAAAAGCACAATTCAATGCAAGTAAGTCCAACACATAGACAAACCAGTAACAAGAGAAGTTTCAGCAAGTACATTTTATGGAAAGAGCGTTCTGATGGAAGACTAGGTCATAAGTTGTGGCACATCTGGTTGAATCACACTCCTGTTATGTATACAGAGTTAGCTATACACGTTTAGGCTATGATTGGCAGAGACTTTTTAAGAATTACCTAGATGAAAAGTTTGGAAAGGAAGCTATTCTGAAAAGAGATGGAATGTTCTGTATTGAAAGCTATGTGAAAAGACATGTTATTGTTCAGCTGGCATAAAAGAGTTGATTTTTTTGGGGGGAGGGAACTATTAGAATAGAAGATAGCTTTATATTCACTTTCATCTGCAATACATACAATGCAAAAAATTAAAATACATAATTTGCCCTGTTTAAAATAAACAATTTGGCCAGTTTGATAATCAGAACTTTAAATGGACTCTTTTCCTACAAGATGATAAAAATCTTAAGGCAGAGTCTTGAATTTTAAAAAAATGCGTTTTCTGCCTCCTGGAAAAACCACCTGGAGGAAATGAAGTCACATGAACAAGACCTAGTTTAATTACAGATATTACAAACAGTGTTTTCCTATCTTGTATCCTTAACTGGTTTTAGAACTAGGAAATTTAAGGATTTCTTGTAAATTCAACTTTAAACTTAAGTCACTGCTAAGTGGGACAATCAACTTTCAAAGAATATTCTGCTAGGCAAAAAAATGCTTCAGATAGAATCAAATATCTAATATTTGTTTTATGATCCTCTGGGTACATACTGCAGTTTTCAGAAAAGATTAATTCTGCTGACAAAGTAAAACAAATTTAAAGGGCTAGAAAATGTTATTAAACCATTTAAAGAATTTCTGCTTTAATTCACCTTTCTTGTAGAGTCAAATCTTCCCTTCTAAGTACATGCAGCTTAATATAATGATGGAGAGAAAGGTGAAAACCCTACATCGAATTGCACATACTTGGTTTGCATACAACAGCAGACAATGTTTAGCCACTACTCTCATATAGTTCCTGTGTCTGGAAGAAAGGAAATAGATTCCATTACAGCATGCGCGTGCGCACACACACACACACACACAGATTAAATGAGCCCACAGTCTGTTACTCAGCATCAGCTCTAGTACAGTAAAGAAGTTTCTACATTTCTTTCCATTTTATATCTCAACCTTTTTTCTTCAGAGCAAAGGTTCAAATCCTCCCACTTCTATCTTAGTAAACACTTCTAAAATGCCCTTAAAAACAGAAGACTTATGGCTTAATTGACATGTTTCTATCAGTGAGTCACTCTAACCTTCCCCCACCCATTATAGTTTTGTTCAAGGGAGTGTCAAATCAATAAGGTTGCTCAAATGAGAAGACTGCTAATTCTGGACTACGTCAAAAATATCAATTTGCACGTATTTGCTTTTTTCAAGACACAATACGATCCCATGCTGCACTGTTCCCAGGAAGTCCTGGATCAGTAGAATCCTAGGGCAGCAGCCTTCTTTACAACTGCTATTCTCCTGGCATGTTGTTGTTGTTGGTCGCGAAATTGTGTGCGACCCATCGCGACCCCATGGACAACATTCCTCCAGGCCTTCCTGTCCTCCACCACCTTC